AGGCTTGAAGAATTTGGCTGTAATTGGTACGGATAATGCCTCAGTGATGGTTGGTATAAACAATGGCGTTTATGCCAAGTTGAAGGAAGCTAACCGATCGTTAATACTTATAAAATGTATGCGTCATTCATTGCAGCTAGCATTATCACATGCTTCATCTAAATATTTACCAAGGAATTTGGAATACCTTATTGCTGAAACACTTTACCGGTTTTCGAAATCATTTGTCAGACAACAGCAATACAATACATTATATACAGCCTTGAATGATGGTTCCACACCACCGAAAATTCTGTCAGATTGCAAAACTAGATGGTTATCAATTTAACCAGCTGTTAAAAGAATTATGAAGCAATGGCTGAAGTTGAAGACACACTTTGAAATAACAAGACAAAGTGAAAAGTGCTACACAGCTGACATACTATATGGACTGTACAGTGATGAAACAAACAAAACAGAAACTAAAGCGTTTTGGAGTGAAGTGAGACAATTTGAAGATGCCTCATCAAACAGTCCATTCTGTAAGCTCTTTAAAGTGTCATGTCTGCCATGATACTACCACTCAAATGCTGACGTAGAAAGAGTTTTCAGTGCTAGGAATTATATCAAATCTAACCTAAAAAACAGGATGAAATTTGACCTCTTAAATGCTATCGTGCCAATGAATATCGGCCTGATGAGACTAGAGAAATAAGCCTACTGTTCCACTTATAAAGAAATTTGAACAGCTAAAGCATACCAGGGTCATTTTGGATCTGAAGCTTCAACTTCATTATCCAAGCTAAGTTTATCCTGTGGATCTTGTGAGGCAGGCATCAGTGAAGGTGAGGACATGATTATGTAGGGTAAGTCATAACGAAAGCTATGTAATTTTTGACTTTTTCAATTTGGATGTTTTTTCTAGATCTTTTCCACGGAGATTCAGATCTTTTTAGATATTTTTCGACACCATTTTGGATATTTTTTGTCAAAGAAAAGTGGCAACACTGTGGGTGAGTATGCCAGGGGTGCCGCGGCGAAAATCAAGAAAAGTCGGCTATAAATTGTGAATTATTAAAAAAGGCATTAAGATACTTAATAGTTAAAATTTAAATTGTGTTTCCTCGCCATTGTCGAAAAGAGTTTTACAAACTATTACTCTGAGAGTTTTCTCTCAGACGTCTCTCTTTAGCTTGCTGCGTTTGGCTTCTTGCAAAGTGCAACAGTCTGTCACTCTCACTAACCACAAATAACAAAACGTGCCATTTGCTGTCTTTCCCTGTCGAGGGTAACAAGCACGAATGTCCTCTTTTGATGTCTGTGGTGTTATCTTTGCGGCAGTATCAATCAAACACATTTAGTTTCATCGTTTTGTCTCTGCTGGGTTTCTCCAACACTGTTTCAGTATAACCACATCTCTGTCCTCGAGGGGTTTTGTGTGCGTGTCTGCAATTGTTTTGGATTGATAGAAAACAAGTGAAAATCTTTCTGAGGTAGCATGCAAACAATCGTTTTCTAACCTCTAATGAAAGGAATTCTTCTTCTTCTTCTTCTGATCCTCCTCCACCTCCTCTTCCTTTTTCACTTCCTCTTTTATCGCTTTGGGTGTCGAAGGCTCTGTTTTTCGCTTTTCTGGCTGCCTCGACCACAGACACATCGTGCTGTTGTAGAATTTATCTGATGTTATCTTACCATCCTGTTATGGTCTACCTTATGCTCTGCGTCCTTTCTCTCCGTATGGTGTATACCTTGTATATTAAAGCGTCACAAAGCATTCTCTCTATGTAGGCAGAACATTTGATCTGTTGTCTCTGCATGTAATTTAGGAATGATTCTGGGCCGACTTTTTCTCTTGTGGCCCTATATTTGATCTCTTCTGTTCTCTCATGCAGCACTACTCAGATATCTCATTTCCAACTAATGTTCTTGTCTGGTTTGTTTCGGGTGACGATGCCTGCCACTCGTAGCATAAGCTGGGATGGACATGGATTTGTTGCATAAAACGTTTTTCAATTCATACATGGCAGTTTATCCTTGCTTGTTGCGTTCTTTTTCTATATCACACATCCCCTATCCGAGCCGCCTTAAAGCACATAAGGCCCGAATCGCTGTTCCAGCCACCTCTATCAAATCTGTCTTATAGTTCATGCCGTGAGGCGTTGGTAGTCATGTCTACCCACAACCTTGTGTCTCGTGTAGTTTCAGTCAGCTCTGATATTGATGATCATCCATGTTATGCTGTCAAACTGTCCAGCATCTTCTCTCTCAGTCTTGTTCTGCCTCTTCTCCTCTCCTTATGATGTAAGAAATCACTCCTTTTCATGGGTCAGTTTAAGACATCTTTATAATTTTTTCCCCCTAAATCTGTCCAGAGTTTTCTAGTCTCTGGTCTATAAAACCACATCTCCGCAGCATCCAAAAACTATTTCAATGATACTCTAACTTTTAGGCAGTAATGCAGATAAAGATGGGGGAATCTGACAGAGATTTTAAAGTAGGATTACAAATGGCAAGAGGAGCTTTCATGGCACTAGGAAATGTGTGGAGGTCAAAAGAAATTAAAACTATTAATAAATATAACATGCTTAATTCTAATTTCGAATCAGTAGTTCTGTACATAGCGGAGACACAGAGAACAACTAAAACAATGATACACATTCATTAACTGGCGCATGTGAAGAACATAGGAAATTAAATGATATGATAGAATGTGTAATGTTCATCTTTGGGAGAAAACTAAACTAGTTCCAGTGGACTAAGGGGAGAAGAAAATAAGCTGGCGTTGATAGACACACTTTGAGAAAACCGAAGCACAATATAACTAGAATGTCTTTGCAATGGAACCCACCAGGGAATAAAAATAAAGGAAGACCTACAAACTCACGGAAAAGGGAGCTAGAGCGTGAAGTTAAAATGACGGGTAAGATTGTAGGTGAGCTGCGCGCAACAGGCAAGGATAGATACACTCGGCGTGAGTTAGCTGAAGACGTATGGGGGTAGAAGGCAAAAAAGGACAGAATAATCGTCCGTCCATGATTCACTTCGGTATATCAGGATATGATTTATATAGTTCTTCAGACTTTCCTTTTTTGTTCGAAATTGCATAGAATGCTGGCATGGAATATTCTCCATTTAGTCAAATTGCTGCTTTTGCTTGACCTATTCTTCATTTAACTCCTCCATCTGCTGTTATCAGGACACCCAAGTACTTAAGTGTACCAGCTTGCTAGAGGATTGTCCCTTTAACTCTAATTTTATCCATTAACCTCTATGGCATGTGTGTGTGTGTGTGTGTGTGTGCACGCGTAGGCTTCTTGGATTCTAATTATATACATACGCACGCACGTTCTCTCTCTCTCTCTCTCTCTCTCTATCTCTCTCTCTCTCTCTGTGTGTGTGTGTGTGTGTGTCACACACACACATGTTTGAGAATGCAATACTTTTGCGATTCTAACATAAACTGGCTCTTTTCTTGTATTCCAAATCTACAGGGTCCGTGGCAGACCTTTAAAAAAAAAAATAAGGTTCGCGGAAAAATTTTAAACTGCACCATTTCCTCAAATCAGGAAAGGGCAACCTGTTCTGGTCCGCGGGTCGAGTTTAGAATTACTAACTTGATCGTGGACCATATATTAAAAAAAAAAAAAAAATCTATTAGAAACATTACACCCGGATTTCCCACTTTTGTAGGATAATGTAAAATTAGAATTCCCGTTATGCCTCTGGCCAAACACACTGGCCAACTGAAGCGCTTCTCTATATTCCTAAATGTGTCCGTCCAAGCTGGTTATTTGCAGAAATCTTATTACTAAAAGAAAGTAGTTCCGGATATTACTGTTTTGATTATCACTTTTTTTTTTGGGGGGGGGTGTTGATATTTGGAGTTTTGTTTTCTTTCTGCATACGAACGTATATTTTTGTGTTCTGCTATTTTTTTTTTTTTTAGGTCAAGAGCCAAATTATATAGTAATATTACACCAGTTAACAACTGCTCGAGCGGGCCAGTTGTGACCCTCTGGCAATAGTTTGTCTAACTCTGAATTACCTGCACAATAGCAACCTGTCTACTTTGTCTATTATTTAGCCACATATGTGCGCACACACATCCACGCAGCTATACACACCTACTCACACACCCTGACACACATAAACGCATACTTCCCTACTCACCAAATATATATCACATCTATGTGGTGATGAACAGCAGTACAGAATGAACACGTATAATGAGAAATCGACAACATTTACAATATCAAAATTCCACGTTCAACGCAACACAAACTACACCAATAAGCACAAGCTCCACCCACAAACTACCAGATTTTAACGAGCTGGAAGGCCGAAAATAACATCGGCTCCAGACAAAACAGGACAGGATACCAGTCTCTCAAGTGATTACTTCAATTTAAGTCAGTGGTTCCAACTGTCTGGCCCGCAGAACCCCAGGGATTCGCGAAACAATTCGACCTTTTCAACTTACAAGCATCCGCACTTACGACCAAAAAAAATAAAAACGGTAATTTTGTGTGTATGATATAGTACATATTATATATATCTTTCACATTATGTACACACACAGACTAAAATTTTGCATTTTATGTACAATTTTTATAAACTGTGGAAAAAAATTTGAGCTAACTATGATGAGTGCGGGGAAAAATGACCTACACAATAATAACAAAATGTGCAAAGTCAACAACTTTTGACGACAGGGTAATGATTCCGAAAAAAAAAAAAAACCAGGATATAAAGAAAGTAAAAAAGCACAAACAAGAAGTTCTGAGAAGGGATTGATTAACATAAAGTAATCAGCCCTACATCTAAAGAAACACAAACTCAAACATAAAAAGATGTTAATAAACTAAACATATTTACATCTAAACATCCGAGTCACAACAGGAGAAGCGCTAAGGGGTCAGCCATCTGATTAATAAAGAAGATAAACTGTGGAGTGCAACGTGAAGCAGGGGCTCAAGACATTCACAAGCAACGGTCAACTTAAGACATGAGTACATTCTTACCTTATTGAGCATGGCCACTCGAACCATTCCTTCCTCTACAAAATACATACAGTCTGCCTTGTCACCCTGCGAAAACAAAATGGTGAGATTTGTGCCTTAATAGAGAAGTCTCTCTCTAATTTACTTTTCTCGCTCTCGATCCTCCATCCATCTTTCCCCATCCTTCACTAACTCGCTATGTCTTACTTTCTTGTTCTTCCTTATTGTATCTTTTCTTTCAGCACTTTTTACTTGTTTTGTCTCTTTTTTTTATATAATCTTCTTTAGCTTTTATTTCATTTTGGGTTGCCTGGAGGGAGGGAGGAAGGGGGGGGGGGGGGGGCGCCTGCGTGGTCTTGAGGCATGGTGTCCGCCTCGAGCGCTAGAGATTCCGGGTTCAATCCCCGGTAAGGGCTGGAATTTTTTCACAAGGACTTAGACTTCTAGTAATTTCCCCGGGGTCTAATGGTAGTGAGATCTGACGCCCGTGTGCATTGTTGCGCACGTAAAAAATTCCTAGGCAGTTGGAAATCGAAAAGAGTAGCCTAACAACGCTGCCTGGGCAAAGTGTGGAGTTAAAAAAAATCTACCCAAAGTATTTCAGGATCCTCGCCGGTGCTACAGAGCCTGTACAATGTGCTGAGCTTCTTCGGACATAGACTTGAGTTAGAAGTAGAACGAAGCATTATAGGTTACTACCTAAGTGCCATAATGTTAATCCGTTGTTCAACAACTATCGGCTCTTATCATTACATATAGCAAGTTTTGCTGTCTTTCTATTCTGAGTGCACTGTCAGGTATCATCATTTATCCATGATTTTTCTCTTGCTATGTGAACGGATCAATCATTCTCCCTTTATTTCTTATGGGAAAATATGTTTTTCATACGTACTATTTGATATACGTAAGAGCTTCGGGAACGGATTAAGTACCGACCGAGGTACGTGATACCAGAATTTTGTGTATGTGGTATAAAGCAGCAACTGGTTACAGGTGAAATCTTGAGGATACCACCATATAGCGTCTGGGCGTCCAGAAACTCATACCCGACGACTAATTTTTATTTTCAAACTTATCGAATATCAAAGCAATGTTTCCCCTTTGTAAATCTGAACCCAGACGACGCAAACAATAGATTGCACAATTTATTGCCTGGTATCGTTCACTTTATCCCGTCAGGTGCATACTACAGCAATCATTGATTAAATTGAAGCAAATCAATGAATTCTTCGAACAGAAACACAAAATCGACTACATTAAAAAAAAAAAATTTTTTTTAATCGAACCTGTTAATTCAACGGTCATTCAGAATAAATCGCTGATATGTGGGGTCTACGTGGTCTCGAGGCAACGTGTCCGCCTCGAGTGCTAGAGGTTCCGGGTTCAATCCCCGGAAAAGGCTGGAGTTTTTTCACGTGGACTTGTAGTAATTCCCTCTGGTCTGTGGGTAGTGAGATCGGACGCCTGTGTGCATTGTTGCGCACGTTAAAAAATCCCCAGGCAGTTGGAAATTGAAAAGAGCAGCCTAACGACGCTGCCCAGGCAAAATTTGGAGCTAAAAATCTACCCAAAGTATTTCATGATCCTCGCCGGTGCTACAGAGCCTGTGCACTGTGCTGAGCTTCTTCGGACTCAGACTTGAGTTAGAAGAAGAACGAAGCACGTATGGGTTACATCCGTGTGCCATGATGTTGATCCGTTGTTCAAACCTGATGCAGTACACATTTTATTTTTCTAAATGCTTAGTTGTCAAAGACTTAGATGGGTAGGAGATAAGTGGAGGAGGAGAGAGTCTCTAGTGAAAGCCTCTGTTACACATAGGTAGAAGATGTCGAGGGCATTCTCTACTGCGACTTAACGTTGTGCAGAAGCGATAGGTGACTGGTACATGTACTGGGGTGGATTCCTGGGGAGAGGGTGCTAGGGATCGAGTTGCCTGGCGGGCCAAATACGGATCAAGGAGGATATGATTGCGGGTAGCTTAAAACTTGAGCGAATGAGAAAAGTGCGAGAAGCCGTGGTCCAGCGGTTAGACGCTCGCCTGCCGATCGGAAGTTTGTAGGTTCGGTTCCTGACAAAGGCACATTTTTTTTTTTAAATGACCTTGCTTCGAGGTCGACCCAGCCTTGAATTGGTACCAGGTACAGTCCTGTAAAGTAAAGGCGGCCGGCGTGATGCTGACCACATCACCTACCAAGTGCCGTTGGGTCTATAAAATACGTGTCTCGCCCTATATACCCAATACGCCTGAAAGGCGTAAAACGTAACGTTAAAAAAAAGTAAAGATGACTTTTCACGCCTTAGGCGCATCGGGTATATGGAAAGAGCATCCCACATTTCTACAGACCAATCGGCACAAGGTGGGTAATATGGTCAGGATGACGTCGGCCGTCTTTACTTCCCTAGAACAGCCATCCTGGAACCCATTTTAGGTTATGGCGCCCCATACCACGATAAAAATCCACGCAGCCAGCAGTGGGTTTCGATCGCGGTACGTTGGAGTTACGAGTCGGACTCGCAACACCTATGACATGAACGCCATAAAATATAGGTCAAGCCCTATATACCCAATACACCTGAAAGGCGTGGATATGGTCCTTTACATTATGTTACGTTAATATGAGAAAAGTCAGTTAAACGCATGCGTAAAAATGACCTGAAATACAACGCTTGAATTACGGAACTTTTCCTATGCGAGCGCAACCTGCTAGTCACACTTGCTTTTGCCATATGGTATGATGCTCCTACCTCCCTGTAGTATAACATCTTCTTTTCTCTGCTCCTGGAATGCCTCGCAGTGTCACGGCAGGAAGAGATCTCTGCAACGGGCCTTTCTGTTCCCTTCGTATACAGTACCTTCCAGTGTCTTTGATATCCATGCGGTCCATATCCTGCGTAACTATTTTTTGGCCAACACTATGCTATCAATGCCAAAAGTGGACACTTACATCCTCCAATGAACGTAAAATTGTGACAACACAGATGAAATGCCTTAGAAGAGCTGCAGGAGTTTCAAGGAAAGACAGAATACGAAATCATGAAATCAGCTGAATGCTAGGAATAAAGCCAGTCTTACAGGGTCATCAAAGAACACCAAATTAAGTGGTTTGGACACCTAACAAGAATGCCCTGGTACTATCCGCCCCAGCGAGCCACACTAAAACGTTACAACGGGTATAGAGCCAGTGGAAGACCTCGGAAAATATGGAGTGATGGCATTAATAACAGCCTTACAGAAATGAACATCAGTCTTAAAAGTGCTCTTGACAGAGCTCATCAACGAACATTACATCTCCCCTGGACCAGGTAAAAGGTGGAAGAGAAGAAGAAGATATCCTGCGTGGTCGACCTCTGGCTATGTTACCGTGGTATGTGTATATCACTCCTGTCTGTGCTGCCATGTTTAGTGCCAATCTTACATGTCCAAAGCACTTGATCTGTTTGCCTACCGACAAAGTTCAGTATCGTTTCTGTGCTAGCTCTCCTCCTGATATCATAGTTCCTTGTTACACATAGCGTAGTATACAATCATTTCTTTTCTGACTATTTTCCTTCTGTTTTCTGAAGACGGTGTCTATGAATGACTTTGATAACATCGAGTTAGTTTGTTTGTTTTAGTATCCAGAAGCCATGAGTTGTTAACCCTTAGGATCGGTATTACGGATATCGCAACCTTTCGGCCTTGATTCCATTGTAAATACCGTAAATCTGGGAGAAATGCCTACCCCCGGGACTGAACCCGGACCACAAGGAGTTCGTCACCCCCTCACCGCGCAATCCGGTTTAGCCAACTACGCTAGAGAGACGGGCATTGAGTTAGTAAAAATACTGTCTTTACAACTGCTCTTTTAGCGCTTGCATTTCAAAATTGGTGCCATTTGGCCGAAAACTTGGTTGGCGTTATTGTATCTTTGTTGGATTCCTTTATTAATTCTTCTGTCTTCTGGGGAAAAAAAATGCTTTCCAAATTTGTAAAATCCTTCTCCTGCTTTAACGGGTGTGTTCTTCTTTTACTGTAGAATGTCATCACTTGTGTTTTGTATACGTTGATCTTATCACAGTGGTCGCATTCTGTGTGGAGTCTATTACTATGTTTTTGTAGTTGAACTGCTGCTGGTGTTATGACTGCCCGATCGTCAGCTAAAAATAGTCAATCTAGTGATTCCCCAATAATGTTCCTTTCGCTAATGTTAGCTTATTTGCAAATTTGGTCGACATATGTGATGAAAAGTAGTGGGGATAATAAGACACACCCCTGTCTCACTTCAGATCTCATGTGGAACTTTTCTGACATCCTAATGTTTGTTATAACTGCGCGTTGATTGTTAACATATAAACTCTTGCACAGTTTAATAAGATATTTGCTTACTTAGTAATCCTTTAGTACTGTAGCACCTTCCATAATATGTTCCTATTAACTTGATCGAAAGTTTTTCCCTTGGTCTACGAAAGCTTTCTCTTGGTCTACGAAAGTTTTCTCTTGATCTACGAAAGCTTTATCTTAGTCTACAAAAGCTTTCTTTTGGTCTACAAAAGCTTTCTCTTGGTCTACGAAAGCTTTCTCTTGGTCTACGAAAGCTTTCTCTTGGTCTACGAAAGCTTTCTCTTGGTCTACGAAAGGGACGTGAAATTCGTTTACAAATTATATCGTCCTTTCCACTAATTGTCCAAGTGGTAATATCACATCAATACAGATTCTGTTCTCCCGAAATCCCATGTACCCTTCACTTAAGTTGTGGTTCATGGATCTTACAAAATATTTTCACGTTGTGGCTAAAATAACGAAACTCCTCTATACTCCTCTCACAGTCTCTCTAGCTGCTTTTCTTCTTCCGGATGGGTACTCTTATTGCGCGTCTCCAGTCTTCTGTCGTTTGCGTTGTCCAGACTAGATTGAACAGTGTGTGCATCCATTTAACGCCTACCTTCTGTTGCTCTTCTTTGTTGTGGATGATTTCTTTGATTGTTAAGTTTAGATCTTTGAAATGTCGACGCCGTCTTTATAGGAACTTTTCTGCTTCATTCAAGCAGCTCACGTCTCGTCATTTATGATTTCTGTTGGGTCATATTGTCTAATCCTACCTCTC